TGAAGTGTCTTGCCCAAGGACACAACGACCGAGACTGTCCAAGCCGGGGCTCGAACCGGCAACCTTCCGATTACATGGCGAACGCCCAACTCTTGAGCCACGATCGCCCCAAACAGTGCTGCCAGTATGATTCAGTAGTAAAAAAATCTAGGTAGAAAAAAACAGACAATTAAAAAATATAAAACCATCCTCCTGCAGCTCTCCCCTCTCTGTTTTACACCCCTCCCACCAATAAATAAAAGAATAAAATAAGGATTTGTGTTCATGCACTGTTCTCTGCTTAACCACTCTACAACACCACTTATTATCTACTTTGTGGACTTTTTAAGTCTCTTGTACTACTTTGTAAAATGTTTAAAAAGGAACTGTGAGTCTCTACAGTATGAAATCCGAGTCCAGGCCACACAACCATTATCAACAATTAATGTGAGTGCCTCAGCCATGATGTAAATAGAGAGTAGGCGGAAATATTGCGCGACCATGACATACGATGGTTTATGTTTGTTAGTATCACATGCTTCTGCAGCAAAATTTTGAGAATTCAGTGTCGGTCCTGTGCTTAGTGGCCAAATTTCTCACGTCGCTACCAGCTTGAGAGCCTAAAAAGATGGATGTCATTTTCCCTCAGTTTGTTCCTGCTCTGTCCTCATTTCTCTTCCTTGGTGAAATAGAGCACAGGGGCCTTTACTTTTACCACATTGTTTCTTTTCCTCATCAACTTATCAGCTCTACATTACCATTTCCTTTTTCACTTTGCCCTTTCTGTTGTCAGGCTTCCTTCCCCGCGTCTCCATCCTGACCCCTTTCTCTCTACCTCGCTTCCTTTTTATCGCTTTTACTTTTGTGTTGCATCTGCTTCGACACTTCTAGTTCTCCTCCTGAGCCTTTTTAGTCTTCCATCCTCATTTGTCACTTTTTCTTGTGCCTGTCTGGTTCCAGCCGTAATTGAGGTTGTTTTTTTTTTAATAACCCCTGGTTTCTTTACACTCACACCACTCCTCTATTTCCCCCTTGCCTTTCACCTTTTTTTCTGACTTCCTTTGACGTTTGAAGGAGAGTGGGGATCCACTCAGCTGACAAAGAGAGAGGCAGTGACGTCACAGCAGACATGATACACCAGCATCTGCTCTGGTCTAAAAATACACACCACAGGGCACACACAGTCAGTCTGCAGCTGCACTCAGCGTTTGTTTTCACCTACACGCTCTGCTGAGATGGCCCAGCTTTTACACAACTGGGGCTTGTGGGCACGCTGGGCTACATGCTGCTGGCCTTAAACCGAACACCCAAGATGTGTTCAGATATTAAGACTCCGGGTTGATGCGGGTGCTGAAATGAACCCCGTGGAGGCTGCAAGGAATGTCAAATTGTTCAAAGCCCTTACTGCTGACTGATAAAATCTGTGGCACTAAGATATCTTAGAAAGTGTTCAAGATTTTTTTGGGGGGGAGTTTCATTTATAGTAATTGTTTATTCAGTTGTCACACCAATTGTCTGTTATTGTTGTCTGTTCAGCAATTTTGTGATAAAAATATTTATACATGTCTGTAATCTGGGTAGTACAGTTTTACTGATAGAAGGAGAACTGTAGCCTATGTTAAAAACAGTTGTGCTTATTGAAATTTAAAAATAAACTAAAGTGCAAAGTAAATCTGGGAGCAATTGAAAGTTCAACTGGGACAAGCATTTGCATTTGTATGGTTTCAGTCATGTACCACTATAAAAAACAAAACAAAGCAAATACAAGTAAAAAGTCAGTATTCATCTCTCAGTGCCCAGCTGCTCATTACTTAAATGCTGTTCAGCTGTTTCGATTATATAGTAAGCCAGTTTGAGGACAGCCACTCAAACTTTCAGTGATCTTTTGGAGCAAGGGGCACCTGTATCTCTGCTGCGCCTTAACAGTGGAGTACATACTGTAGTCGTTCTTTGGTGCTGAGTGGGTGTTAAACCTCCCCAACCCTATGCTTATTCCCTAATGCCATTACAGTAAATAAGAATGTTTTCCTTGTGAAGCTGCTGGGCAGCATAATAATAATAATAATAATAATAATTATTATTTTAATTGCACCACTTTTTTGATACATACATATAGGTCTTCAACAAACCTTGCCTATTTTCTCTGTAAATTTTTCTTTTCCATCAATGATAAAATTATGAGTTTGATAAAGGTATCTGAAAAATGTGATCATTTCTCAAATAATGCTTATCTTTTTCTGTTTTTCTCCACTGCGTGCTTGTCTGTGTGCATGTCATTTGTCTGTTTGTTGTTGCTGGCATGTAACTAGCGAAGTGGAGCAGGCAGGTCTGTCAGATTTGGAGATCATCTCCCAGCCGGTGGAGGATGAGAACCAGTGCTTGGCTCCTCCAGTCCAGCTGGTGAGTTTTGGCTACAGAGATCTGCCCCTTGCAGCTCTGGACCTCTCCCTGGCTGGCTCACAGCTGCTCTCCAATGCAGATGAAGATGAAAACAGGGAAGGGTGAGTGAAACTTGTGTTTTATATGTATATATGTAAAATTTGTTTCTCTAAACTCTGTGCTGTCCTATAAAAAACTGCATGAAACATTATTACTTGTATTGGAATTAACAGGGTAAGATTCACCGAGGTACTGCTAATCAAATGTGCTTGATTAACTGATTATCAGCAATTGTGTCCACCTCTGTGAAAGCAGATGTTTGGGCAGTTTGCTAGTTGAGAGCAGCAGGTGTGTGTTAATACAATGGAAAAAAAAAATCGCCAGTAGACTTTAAGAAGCATGATAGTAAATTAAGAAAAAAGACTGAACAAGTGTAGCTTGTTTGGATGGGTTCCCAGGAGGAAGCCTCTTCTCTCTAAAAAGAGCATGGCACCACATCTCGGGTCTGTAAAGATGCATATGAACAAATCACAAGACTTCTGGAACAACGTCCTTTGGACAGACATGACCAAAGTGAAAATATTTGGCCATAATGCATAAACGTGAATCAGTTGTGGTGAAAATCAAACACAGCATATCAACACAAATACGTCATACCTCAAGCACAGTGGTACTGGGGAGATGATTTGGGTTTTCTTTGCAGCCGCAGGACCTGGGCACCTTGCAGTCACTGAGTCAGCCACGAACTCCTCTGTTTACCAAAGTATTCTTGAGTCAAATGTGAGGCCATCTGTCTGACATCTGAATTGGGTCATGCAATGATAATGGCTGAAACAGAACAAAATCAAGGCATTGCAATGGCCCACTGAAAGTCCAGACCTCCACTTATTTGAGGTCTAGACTGCTGTGGTCCTGCTGTGGTGGGACCTTAAGGGATCTGAGCACAAACTAATGTCCACAAACCTGAATGAACTGAAGCAATGTTCTAAAGAAGAGTCATACAGAAAACCATTACTTCATGTTATTGCTGCTAAATGTGGTTCTAAAAGCTACTGAATCATGTGGTATACTTTTTCATAGCACTGCATGCCTCATACCTCAGTCCCAGCTCTTCTATACTGTTTAGGTACAGAAAGTAGGTATGTATTAGCACATTTTGCAGTCCTATATTTATATGCACTTATGCTGTTATATATTTTTATTTCATGTGTACTGTACATGTATGCATGTGTCTAAATTTTATATTTAGAGGCATGCAACCTTCCAGTGTTAAGACCATTAACACAGCCATTGTGGAACAGGCACTTAAATCTGCTGTCTGCGGTTATCGCAGCCAACAATGTAGATTTTAAGTTTACATAAAACAGCAGCCACTGTTTGTAGACTTACACACCAACACACACATGCACACGACCCATCACACTTGCATAAATGCCACATGGTATGCAAGATTATCATCCATCATGTGTTAAGTCTCCCGCCCCAAGTCCTTGACTTGCTGTCCCCGTTGCTCAGTATTACATCCATTTATCATTAAGTGACAACCTCTGGGTTGTCCTGCGTCCATAAGTTAACTGAGATCAATTCATCATTTCAGGCTAAATATCTGCCCTCCTCGCCTGCCTGCTGACAATAGGAGCCTTTATTGTAAGTGACATTTTACAGTGCATGAGCCAGAAGCCGATAGTATCACACACTTAATTTCTTTTACTGTCTAACTATACATGCTGTCACGTTTAATTACTTTATTGAGTCCGCAGTTGATCAAAAGTTGGCAGTTAAAGGTTGTACGCCTCCACGCTTCCAAGTTTTCCTTAGTCTTTGATGTTTAAGTAATTTAAATCCTGAAAATGATCAAAAGCTGTTCCATAATGATTTGTGCTTTGTATCCATATTATACAGTAACTAGTCATTATTATCTTGTGTTTTTTTTTCTTTTATTCATACTTTTTCCTATGACTGGGAATCCTGGACTTTTCCATGATTCTCAGGTAAACTTTACGAAAATGGGACTCAAGTTTAATCAGAATCAGAATACTTTAAGGAAATCGTGTGGCTACAGTTGTTCCAAGACAAAGTACTAGAAGTAGCACTTTGTAGTAGTAGTAGTACTTTACACTCTAGTACTTTATTATAAAGTACTAGAGTGTAAAATGTTAAACATATCTCAGTTACTGTGAGCGAGACAATAATTCTGTCTCAGTAATTGTGTGATACTTACGAACTGCTTATCACAGTCCTTGTTATTTTATCCTTTCACATGATTGTGCAAATTTTAGGTTTGACATATGGATATGAGGTCAGATCACAGCTGTCTTTGAGATTAGTCACAACATTAACAACCTTTTTTTTCACCATGCAAAATCTGCCCACCGTCCAGTCTTTGCATTCTGTCCAGCAACTGTGACTCAAACCTGGCTCTTAGCGTGAGATCTCACTAGGATGCACATAAACACCATAAGCTGTACTACAGGATCCAAAACATGCACACATACACAAACACACACAACATATCCATACATGCTGCCTCATCCAAGTACTCCGTTTGACACCAAATCAGGTCTCACTCCATTGGTTCGCTTCAGTTAGCCTCTCATGGCCAGAAACAGATGGGTTTCACAGACGCACCGTGCTGACACTCACACTGCGCCAGTATTACAACCAGTACAGTCCTTGTGTGTCCTATTCCAGATCAGGGTCACTGGTACCATGCATTTCCTTCCTTATACTTAATGGTTAGATGTTTCAGTGTTTGTTGTGAATGTGCTGTGACACCACCAGCTCAGTGTCTGGATTTGGTGTTGTTAGGAAACACTTTAGTGTACAGATATGAATTATGAATGCAGCATTTCCTATTGTAGCTCAACCTGTGACATATACCTGGAAGGCATTTCTTAAACCAAGAGTTATCCGGTAAATGGGTCACGTCCCTGCCGTTGTAATCACAAAAATGAGAACAGCAATCTCTCCAAATGAGCTTGGGTTTGAGGGCATGAGACTAAATTTCTCCTTCTGGTCCAGATGCTGAAAAACTTTAAGAAGCCCTGCTGTAAGAGGCTAGAACAACAGATTTAGCAGACACCGTTTTAAAGGTTATTTTACCAGTGGGCTCAATTTACTCAAAACGAGCTTAGCGTGATGGGGTCACTATTTCATATTCAAGCCATTAGTGTAAAACGTCTGCCTGTAAAAACGCTGCCAGTGGGAGTTGTAAAAGTCATCATTCTTTCTTTTAGCTTTAATGAAATTCCATTTAAATCCACCAGGCATGAGCTTCAGTAACGTGTACTTTGCATCTTCTCTAAACCTTAAACGATGTACTAATCTTTCAAATTAATCACTGTTACCGGTCCTTGTCGCTGGCCTTTGGTTTGTCCGGTTTGTTAGGATGTTCCCATATCTCCTCCTTTGTGGCTAATGTGTAGAAATTTCAAAAACCTTTGCTGTTTATAGGTCTTGTGTCAGATCACATTTTTTTTTTCTAAACTATGAGATTTTGAGATTTAACAAAAGCCCTCTGAAGTAGTCATAAGCAAGCACTGGATGTGAAAATCGTAAAATATTTAAAAAAAACAAAGTGCCTACTGACATTAAGGCCATTAGAAAATGCAAGATGTTGCAAGTGTGTCCAAATGAACGCGTCACTCAGCCTGACGCCCTCCAAGACCCGAATCTATTTTATTCTGTGGGTTTCAGCACCGCTGGGCTTTCGGTGATTACGCCTGTGCCTCCGTCTCCTCATTACCGTATCGATCTACCTTTCAAAGAGACAGCAGCCATTAGCCCTCCTTAAATGACATTCACAAACATCACGCCCCATGCCCCATCATCATGTTTTACTATGTTCCCCTGCGGCAGTGGGCAGCTTTCTTAAATCAGCGCTTTAACATCACCTCCCAGTGAGTTGACTTTGTTGGGTCGTAACAGTGTGTACGCACCATCCTGCCCATATCTGTCTTCGCCTTCAGAATGCAAATGGGAAACACTGGAGTGCATCTACCAGAGTGACTGATGGGTAAACTCACCTTTAGGGAAATGGGGCAGGGGAAATGAACCTTTCTTATGGGCGTGAGGAATGATGAAGTGAAGTTGAGAGGAGGCAAGACAGCGGCAGCGCGATGGCAATCCACAGTCATCAAAATGAAAATGTATGTCGGAGAGAAATCTGTTGGCTGCTCCGCTGACTTTACCTGGGAAAGTCGATTGCCACCGACACCACACCCCCGCAGACCCCGCCACTTTCAGTCTGCATTAGATGGCTCATTGGCTTTCTGAGAGTGAAAGAGCGTCATGAAGAAAACAGTGCATGGGAAATGTTTAGGCATGCTCTGTAGCGATGTTTGGCAAAACGAGAGTGCACGCCCATGAAAGTGAGAATGTCACAAGCATGGTAGAGGTGTTTCATCAACAAGGTGATGGTTCATTGGATGAGGGGCTGAAGTTATTTTCAGTGGCAGTTTGGGAATGTGTTGCTGTCAGCTAAACTTTTCTCGTCTACTCATTCCAGAGAGAAAGTGGGTGTAAATGAAAAATATGCAAATTCAAAACAGATATGTTTTCTCTTTAAAGACACGGTTTACAGTAAATTTAATGTACCAGCTTGCAGCATATTTTAAAGTTATTGAACTAATCACTTTTGTTGATGAGATCCTGAAATGAAAATCTGCATGGAAAATAAATCACACATTTATATGTTGGGAGTGGAAGACAAGGCACAAGCTGTTTTTCTTTTTTCCTCCTCTCACAGATTTACAGATTAATTGCAAAATGAAAAGCAGTTTGTGTTATTATGGTTTGCCAATACTATAAAGATGCAGCGTGTTTCATAGCAGGATGCAAGCAGAGGGGATTAATCAAGAGAAAAGGCTCCTGTGTCAAGCTGCCACTGTGTGATGAAGCACCTACTGTCAGGCATGTTCGCATATCATAGCCTTTAGCATTGTGAAGGTGGAGCTGACCTTACTGCTATCTCTCTCGTATAGTGTGCTGCCCTCACTTCACACAGTGGGAAAGTAGTCACTCACAGATCGCCGCTCATTTATTTACTTTTCCTCTCTCTTCCTTACACACACACACACACACACACACACACACACACACACACACACACACACATACATAC